ACTGTTGTGGAGGAAATCTTAATGGAAATTTCACAGTTCGCTATCATAATTGAATCGGAATGCATCCAACTGGAAGGTTTTGATGAGAATTTCTTCATATCCTGCAGTATAAAGACACACTCATTACTAGTAATTAAACTGCACAAGCAAAGTAAAACCGTAGTCTTAGATGCCAATCTCTGGACATTTACTAACCTGAACCGTTTATAAAATTTCACCTCCAGATGAATGGTCTTTTTGCAGCCCTGCAGCAAAGACGCCCTTGTTTTCACCAAGCTATTGGCACCATTAAGCAATTTCCGTAACGGGCGCTTGCTTCCGCTATATAAGTGTTTTCCATTCTTAGGGAAGAACGGTTAGAGCAACATGTTTGTTGTGATTTACTACCTATTACTGCACATGTTTACACTTACAGCGTAAGTCATTAAAATGGCGATAAGGACGAAGATATTTTCAACATTTCCGGTACAGGAAAGTATAATTGCTGATAATTGCTTTCGAAAACAGGTTTTAAGTTTTTATGTGATTATTATTTTTGTTTTTATAGCTATTTGCAAACAAAAAATTTTGAAGATAGCTTAAGTTTTCTATAATATAAAGCAAAAATAATTTGGAATCAATAACTTCGATTTCCTTTCAAGCTTTTAAGCTAAGAACCAATTCTTCCCCAAACACAATTTGCTTCTGCGCAAGCATAAACATGCATACATGCGCGCGAAACCCATATGTACCAGAGTTCATTAGCATTTCTTGAATCCGAAGCTATTCATAAACGTCCACATGTACGCGACGAAGAGGTCCAACTATTCAAGACTCGATATGTCTTACTGCAGACAACAAGTGTACCCTCTGGGGAACCCCATTCTCATTTCAATAGGAAGACATATAGCATAGAAAGCAGCAAAACAAGAGGGGTAAAAATTACCTGTAGAGTCGATAGCAAAGTATGCAATGCCATTGCCTTCTACAATGTTATAGTCGACAGCTCCCACAGGGTTATCCTGATCTACAGCTTTGACTGTGATGACTTCGGTACCAATAGCCATATTTTCTGAAAAATGTAACTTTTTAGTGAAATAGAAGAAAACATCTAACCTTCATAAATTACAGAATTATTGACCGAGAATAATTTGAAAAATACGACTTGGTTGTCTTGCAAAAACAAAAAATTTCTGAAGTGCGAAATTCTAGAAAAGATCTTTCAAAAAAAAATTTAAAATGCTATTCAAATACTCTTCCAGTACACACTTTTTCCATGATAAATCGAATTCAAAAATGGGAAAAAAATATCATAATGAAAAGATTATGAATAATTCTTCTTACCGTACACACTAGCCTCCAACGCCACGTCATCGAACTCGGGCGGATGAAGGTTCTCATCCACATCTTCAAGTTCTACAATATATGAGCAAGTTGTACTCAGCACTACTTCTCCATTGTCGGCTACCTGAAATTACAAAGACTAATAGATTTCAGAATCCATCCATCTTTAAACTTATGCCAAACAAGCCCTACATCTATGGTCAAATTATACGAGGATCTTCGTTGGAAGTCTAATGGCTGATGTGGAGAGTGGATGAAAACACATCCAGTTCGATGATCAATCTTGAAAGGTGGTGCAAGCCCATTTTCTTCAGGATCTAAGGAAAATCTAAGACGAGCATTTGGTCCAACATCGGGATCAGTCGCTGCCACACATCCTACGAGCGCTCCATCCGGGTAATCTTCGGGAATTCGCACCTGAAGACATGATTCTCGTAGTTGCGCGATAAAAAACATACTAATATAGTTACTTACAGTCGTTATCGGCTCAATGCAAAAAGGCGCATTGTCATTGACATCGTCGACTTCAATGGTTAGATTTACGGCCGAGATTTGTGACGGGGCGCCGTGATCAAATGCGATTACAGCATGTCTAGTAACAGATACAAGTATATAGCTTTCCTACGGCAAAGGAACGAGGATTTAGCAGAGCAGACCTACCGTAATACACTGTTTGCCTCTCTGTCCAATGGTCTAATCAACGTCAATTCTCCAGTCTTTTCATCCACTTTGATATGGTCTCCTTCTCCACCAGCCAATCGATAACCAACTTTTGCATTATCACCTCCATCATCGTCAGTAGCACTGAGTTTGAGCAGCACAGTTCCGACTTTCGTATCTTCGCTGACATGTAGACGGTACCAGTGCTGAAAATTACAGTAATCCGATGACTTCTT